GTTTACTTGGATGGATGTATGCTGTATTGATTCTTAATGTACGGTACCATTTTCCAGCAGCCGCACATCAAAGTCCTGCGCTCGTTTTACCCAAATCACCATTACAATATTACTGTACTAACAGTCCTCTTACAACTCAACAAACAGCAATCCACAAAACATCATTATGTCGCGCATTATTTTGATATGTTGTATATCTTCATAATCATCATCGTATATTTTTTTTAAACTGAATTAAAGGTCATTGCGAGAGTTGCTGGTACTGGGTATCACAAACATGGGGGACCACTAGGGGCGAAGAAAGTCATTGATCGAGTTCTCCTAGTCCACATATCAAGTGCCCTGAGCATCCAATTAGATGGATACGACGCCACCACCACCGCCGCCACCCATCATCATCATTTGTTTGTTTATTCAAATTATTATTGTAAGTGGTTATTATTAGTGGTTATTATAAGTGGTTCTGTTTGATCTGGTTTGATGTATTGTGTACACACCTAGAGACGCACCCCTGGCGCATATACGGTACCCAGCGGTCCTTCGCCAGTATTGATCCAAATCCAGATTATTATTATTATTATTATTATTATTATTGTCATTATTATTATTATTATTTTAATCAGGGGCGGATTTGGCCCCCCCCCCCCACCTTTGGGAGGTAAAAAAAAGAAAAAAAGAAAGAAAAGGAAAAAAATATAAGCCCAGAACGCCTCAAATGTTATTTTCGGGCGTCTAGAACACAAACATTTTGTACCCCCTAGGACAGTGTTGTCTCGATCGGCCCAACTTTAGGCCCCACTTTTGGACATCTCTGGATCCGCCCCTGTTAATGTATTTAACACTTTAAAAGGGAACACTTTAGTTCTGCAAAAACCATGATATTATACATTGTTTGAATGTTTTCGTCCAAGTGTTTGGGAGTGGATTACTGTATGTTACTTATTCATTATAAACCATTTCTCGGTAGCCACAAATCAAGTCATGTGCTCCTCTTACCCAAATATCCATTTAATTAAAAAAATATAAACGTCAACGTCCTATTCTGTTGGTATTCCATATGCAGCAGTGTACACGTAACATTGGCTTTCATTTTCTCCCGACTTGACTATTGCAACTCTCTTTTATTTAATATTCCTAAAATCCAAATTAACAGGCTTCAACGACTACAAAACTCTGCTGCACGCATACTAACATTTACTAACAGATGCACTCATATAACCCCAATTTTACATGAACTTCATTGGTTACAAATTGATGCCAGAATTCAATATAAAATCCTTTTACTGACTTATAAGTCACTGACTTTCAATCAACCCGCATACATTAATCAACTTCTTCCCAAATAATATGTGCCTGGCCGTTCCCTACGTTCATCTGATCTCAATTTAATTTCTGTCCCTCGCACCAACACTAAGACCTTCGGACACAGATCATTTTCATTTGCTGCAGCCACGCTCTGGAACGCACTACCA